TCTCCATATCCTGAATCTATTCAACACTTCACCCTTTCATGGTCATTTTGACTTTGGAGAAGAGCCAGCAGTTGGATGGTGTCAGATCCAGGGAATAAGATAAATGAGGAAGCACCGGTGGGTTTTTATGGGCCTTTGTGTTGAATGGCACTGGCAGGGCCCTTTACTAAGTTTTTGATCACACAGAGACACTCACAAAAGAGAACTTCCAGAACAGCCTCAGCAAATGGGAAAAAAAAAAAGTTGGGGGTAAGTGAGTTTAAAGTGAGAGGGAGCACTTCGAGGGGAATTCATGGCAACCTGTTTTTACTGAAATGACTTTTAAACACATACTGTATTTTTATTTTATTTCCCCTTGTATTTGGGGTTATATCAATAGCTCCCACACCTGGATCCAGGATGGACATGATTGCTTAGATATCCCTTTGTCCAATACCATTCCAGGGCTCAGCCTTTTATCAAAGCAAGGATGCAATCGGGTAGTCCCTGTCTCTGGTTTGAGAACTTTTCTTTAGAGAGGGCACTGAGAAAGTAGCCCCGTGAGACAAGCAGTTTGGGAAAACCAGCAGCCCTCACACATCCTATGTGCCAGCTTGGTAAATGGTTAGCTGAACTGCTGAACCGGAAGTTCTCAGTGCTAAGGGGAGGCTACAGGAAAGGCCGGAGCACATTCACATGCCCTCTCTGGTGTGACTGTCCCACTGGCCGTGGCTGTCTCTTTTAACTTCAGCCACAGCTGAGAGACAGGATGTGAGAGGAAGAGGCAAGTGTGAGCTAAGCCTCCAGAGATGGGGGAAGGAGTAGAGGGACCCAGAAGCTGGTTTTATTATTGTCCTTCCGGAAGGTAAAAAAATACATATCAGGGTTAAGAGGGATTCCATGAAGTTTCTTGCCTACTTGCTATGTTCATTGCCAGGTGTGAGGCCCCTGCCAACGGTCATGCTCCTGCTTTGCAGGGCCCCTGAGCGCTGTTCTGTGCTCTCTGTGGTCTCCATCCTGCACTTCTGCTCCATCCTCATAACTCCAAGTTGTCCTTGCTTTCTCTCAATTGCACGACCTGTCCCTGTTCTAGCACAGCCACACCTGCCCTGGTCTCCACTACCTGCCCTCACCGCCCAGACACTCCATCTCCTGGATCCAGATAGTCCCTGGGCCCACTCTAAGCCTGCAGCAGCAACCTTTCCTCCCCTCTGCTTCTCCCCATGGGCTGATGCACACAGCCAAGTCATTCGCACACACCATGGGGGAGGGGGCAGGAGAGAAAGAGGAAAAAAGAAAAAGAGGGCAAAAAGGAAAAGGAAAATGGAGGCAAAGGTGAAGAGGAGGAAGAAGAAAAAGGAGAGGAAGACAGATGAAGAGTAGAGGAAGAAAAGGAAGTGGAGGAGCAGGGGGAGGAGCAACAGCCATTAAGACAAATTCACCCTTTCGGCCTCTGCCCCTGGCCTTGACCCCTGTCTTCACCTGTGTCGCCCCCACCGAGGCACACATTCTCCACTTTGGTGATTACTGACTTTGCAAGATGTCTTCTAGAGCATAAAAGCACCGGACCATGACTTCACTGGCCAGGCTTTCTCTTCACAGCCGGAGCACGAAGGCCTGCTTTGTATCTCACTAGGGCTGGCATCTCAAGTGCTGTGAAGCCAAGCAGGCTGCTTAGAAGATGCCACTGAATCCCCATTTCCCTCCTTTCTTTCCTCGCTCCTCTCTTCCTGGCTCATCTTTCTCGATGTCCATTGCCTCTCTCTTTGTCCCTGAGACTGGAGTTCCTCTGTCCTCTTTCCATGCTACCCCTATGGCCAGCAACGGTGCTTACCTTGACTTTCTCTATGGCCTGCAGACCACAGCCACACCAGGCTGGAGCCCCTCCTGGGGACCTGCCTGCAGTATATCTATGTATTTCCATTCTTTAAAGAGTGCTTTTCAATCCAGAGTGAGTTTCCTCCATTGAACATTCAGCAGTAGCCAGGGATGTTTTGGAGGGATGCCAGTCATCTACGAAGTATTGATCAGAACGCTGCCACTGACTATCCTGGAGTACATACAATAGTGTCCTAAATAAATAATCACATAACCTAAAATGTCAGTAGTACCAAGCCTGAGGGTTCCAGCAGCAAACACTTCTAAGAGGCAGAGTCTGGAGCTGAACTTTGCCTTGACCAAGTTCTGTCACTATATACCTGTGTTTGCCCATGTGTCTGTACCACCAAGAGCTGATGGGCACACGGTATTCTCTTCATCTTGTATACTGTTATAATTGATGCATTGTGTCAACTTGGGAAATTTAGAAGTTCAACTAGGAGACTCAGCAAAGAGCCAGGGTTCTTATTTTGTAAATATCCTGTCCTGTGCAAGAGGAAGGCACAGAGATTTTGTTAGTGCTACACTTGCCCTGCAGGGGTGATTGGCCTATACACAAAATGAGTTAAGAAAAGAGGCCTGTTCTGCTCCTTTTTGTTCTGGAGGCTTTTGCTGGCTGCTGCCTTTAAGTGTCACCCAGTGCCATGCCACCTTGCTTTGGAGCCAGTTGATTATGGACTGAAACCTCCACAGACAGTGAGCTAAATAAACCTTTCCTTCCTTCATTTTGGGTGTCATCTATTTTGTCACAGCAATGAAAGAAAAGTAACCAAAATAGTTGTACATTATAGAGGGATGTGAATGGAGTGTTATATGCTGCCATATCATCAGAATGGCTGAATGAAGGGATCCTGTCAGCTCTGTTTGCCCCACAGCCTGAATACTGTAAGATCTCTGAAGGTAGAAACCATCAAAACCTACCATTAACTTAGTGGTGGGGAGGTTGGAGGGAAAGGAGGTGAAGATTCAGAGAGAAGGGAGAAAATCTGTAAGACCTGAGATTCCATACCTCTGTTGGGTGACTTCAAGCTAATGTCTGCCACAAAATGTTAGGAAAGAAAACAATATAATTTAGATTGTATTATTACTTCTAAAAGCTGTTAAAGGGTTTGACTACCTAGATAAAGAAGACATAAACAAGGTCTATGTAAAATTGAATTTTGAAAAATAAAATTAATATTGAAGGAAAGATGAACTCAAATTATGTTTGGAGTTGGAAATACGGTAATGTTTTTGAATTCCACAAGTTACTAAAAAAAGGTTTTTTAAGGAACTGTCAAATAAACTGTAGCTTCCTTGTACCTCAAACTGTTTCTTTTCCATTTCCTCCACGGGAGGCATTCTCTAAAGCAAGTCTGTGAGCCGAGCCCACCTCCAGCTCACCAGAATTAAAGGCATCTATATTCTATAGCTCATTCCTGGGGCATCTTTTATCCTACTTTTGTTTTGTATTAGCCTTGTTTCTCTTGATTTCTTTTAATTTGTCATGCTATATGACAGGCATCTTTGGGAACTAACAATTTATACTTGAAGCAGGATATAAATTCCCATTTCTTTATTGTTTTCTGAATTCATTTAGACACCTTACATGAGGGATCTTGATGTCAACAGAAGCACTCTGAGTGGATGGGAGGAAATTATTTCCCATGCGTCAGGAAAGCATGAAGTCTTTTTAGGACTAGAGAAACCCTGTGAAGGGACAGGAAAGCAAGCATTTGTCAGACACAGGATAAAAGGTCCCAGAGGACAGGGGATGGTGGGGCGGGGCACCCGTGTGCTTCATGTGCTTGTGTGCTCCTGCACAAGGACTCCGCCTCTCCTGTGCCTCTGAGATGACAACAGCCTGTATTCTCAACCTTCTGTCACATTCTTCTACAATGGTGGTCCCAAAGATGAGATGTTACTGACCAAGAGGGAAGAAAGAAACAGTCTCTGGAATCATTTATGATCTAAAGGATAGTACTGTAAGGTGATGTGGCATGACCCTTAATCTTGACATGTCAACAATAGATTAAGAAATGCTGCACAGATGAGTGAAACATGCTCCTTGGTGTGTCTGGGCAGGTCATGAAGGTGTGGCCTTAAGGTCTGTGTCTCATCCCTCGCTCCTTCTCCTCCGGGACTGGTCCTCTACTCTGCTTCCTGGACACCATGAACTAAGCTTCTTCATTCCACTAGGCTCTTTGGCCATGTTTCTGCCTCAGAGCCATGTACTGAATCACCTGAAACCATGAGCCAAACTGAATGCTTCCTTTCTGGTGTGTGTTCAGTTTTATGTCAAGCGATGGGGAAAAGGACTAATATACGAAGAAAGGCAAGCAAAGCAAATAACTTATTTCTGACCCAAGTAAGGTGGCTACTCATTAAGCATCATATAAAAGTAGGTCTTTACCATGGCAGATTTTCTTTTACTGTGCTAGGGTGACAGGATATTCTAAAGTGGCAGGATAATGTTTATAAATGGACAAGTAAGGTTGTTAGATATTGAACTCTGTGATTGCTTTTCTTATTAGCATCAAAAAACAATAAGGATAAGACAATAGAGCCAGGGGTGGTTGCACACGATTGAGAGCCCCAGTACCCAGGAGGCTGAGGAAGGAGCATCATCAAGCCTGAGACCAGTGCAGATTCCACCCAATGAGATCAAGGTCACCTGAGCAACAGAGGAAGACACTAGAGAGAGGGAGGGAGGGAGGATGAGAGGGAGACAGAGAAACAGAGACAGAGACAGTCAGAAAGACAGAGACAGAGAGACAGAGAGAGAGAGGGGTACTGAGATAGAGACAGAGAGGAAATACTAAGAGTACGGCTCAGTATACAGCACTAATGTGCAAGAACCCCTGAATTTAATCCTCAGTAATGCCCCCCTAAAAGTGAAAATAATAATAAAAAACAAACCCAAAAAGTTGGATGATGATTACAATAGCACCCCCCCCACACACACACACTGTTATGCATGTGTGAGGAACACTCCCACCACATCACAAGTGCTGTGTCTCCACCTGAGTGAGGTGGAACCAGGTCCCAGGGCACACCCCCGCCCCAGTCTGCATGAGGTGGGCTGTGAGTCCAAACCTCTGAATTTTTCCAAAGAAAATACTTTCTCTCCCCAGCTATGAATGAAATGCACCATCCAAGAGAAATTTCAGTACAAAGAACTTTTATTGACATTGTAAGAAACATTGTTTTTCTTTCTTCTTTGTTACAAAAAGGACTAAGTGGTTCTGAAAGCCAAGGTCAAGTTCACGGTGTCTGGGCTACAGCTCCCCAGGCCGGAGCTGGCCGCACAGCATCTCAGAGGAAGGCCCGGCTGGTCACATCCCAACACTATGCCTACAATACTTAAATGTATTTACATGTGTTTCTTTTTAAAAAGGATTACACGTTTTATTTTTTTTTTTAAATCTAAAAAAGGTGAAAAAAAATGAACTTGCATTTTATCTTACACATTTGCAGGATACACAAGGGTATTTCATCAGAAAAGAACAACCTCCTATCAGTTCAAAGCAACACAGGAAACCAGGATGCGACACAGCTCAGACGGCTCCGGTCCTGCATGTCCTCCCTTCCCTTGCCAGACACCGAGCACATGGCCTGGAAGTGGTGACTGGGTGACACCAGTGGGTCCCGCTCGTTGACAAGAGTAACATAAAATAAGGCACATATATGGCAAGAATCAAAACTCAGTGGCTCAAGAGGGTAAGCCCACGTGTGAGGAGCAGGGGGTGTTTTAATTTGTTCTTTATAAAAATAAAATCTAAAAAAGGCTGTAAAGATTAAAACCAAGTTTAACACAGATGTTAAACGAGAGTACCATGGATGAGCCGGCATCTCTTCCTGAAGAGTTAACGGGCAGCAGGGAGTCATTGCACTGACTGCATAGGTCAGAGAGCTGCAGAGGAGGGTGGTGGCCCCTGACAGGAGAGAGCAGGTGGACAGACGTCCCATGTCCCCGTGGATACTGCTTCTGAGTGACCTCGAAAGACTTCCCTTCCATTGCATGGTCACGCAGATCACTGAAATCCCCAGATAGTCCACTTCCTTCTTCCCTTCCTCCTTTCTTGCTTCCTTTTGAAATGTCCCCACTGAGAAAAGCCAATCAGAGAGCTGAAAAGTGTCTCCTGCGATCCAAAGGGCAGCAAGGGGGGAAAAAAAAGGACAAGAAAGAAACACACAAGAAAGAGGTGAATCCAGAGGATAACCTAAAAGCAGAGGGAGAAACCAGGGTAGGAAAGAGCTTGGGCCAAACCCGAATAGCAGGTGAGGGCCAGAAGATTGAGAGCCACAGGACAGTAAGTTTCAGGCACTGCAGCACTAATACTGTGCAGAGACGGTCACATGTTTTGAAGAAGACTCAGTCTTGCTTTTCTAGCTGAAAAGTGGCAGAGATTCTACTCTCCTGAGTGCAGCTCAGCAGCTGTCTTGTGCTCGTGGACTTTTTCCAAACAGGCTACATCCTTTTATTTAAAAGGGGCTCCCTGGGGAAGACAGCGAGGTGTGGAGGAGGATTCACAGCAGAACTGCCGGAGCCAGGAGCATGGAGTCCACAGCGAACCCCACGGTTTTCGCCACAGAGTCCTGCATGGCAATTTTATTATCTCTGTGCCTTGATTCTTGGCTCACATTGGAGAAAGTAAACATGAGAAAAACGGGCTGTTGCTAAGAGCCTTTGTATAACACTTTCTTTTACTTGACTTGTGTCTACTGGTAATTTAAATAGCAGGGTTTAAGTCGGGGGAAAGCCACACAGGTCATGAAGCACTGTGGGTAAATCCAACTCCAAGGATTAACAGGGACAGAATCCTGCAGGTAGACTGAGTATTAATACTTTATTTTAATCACTTACATATTTTAAAGTAGTGTGCTGAATAATCCATGTACTCTTGATGCACACATAGTATGTCTCTTACGTGGGTCGAATGCACATGGGAAGTAGCTACACTTCTTAAAATATTTAATGCTTTGACCCAAAACAGAAGTGCAGATACCAGGCCATATGAAAGACTGTGTAGAACCCTGAACTGCTAAGAGAATGCAGTGCTCAGTGGCTAGAATGTAAACACTGGCACCCACGCAGCTACTAAACACCTTCCTTCCTTCCTGTTCTCAGATGCTTAAACTGGTTGAGCCGATTTATTTTCAGTATCAATGTATGGGAGCGCTTTCTTTTACAACTGAATTTTTAAAATCCCTTAAAATAGGGCGCTTAGTAGACAGATTCCTTCCCTCTAGTGGAATTAATAAATGTTAATGTATAGCCAGTTGTGGGATTGTTTAAATGCCTATATAAAGAGAGCTATAAATAATCAATTCTCAGTTGTCTATGACAGTAGGAGACGAAACTAATAATACAGCCAACTCACAAATATTCCCCAAACTAATTCTACCCAATTGCTTCAGTCTATCATCTATCAAACTTCTTGGCAGAACATATAAATGCAGCAGTGTGTGTCTGAGAGTTACCAACTGCCTGCGCCCTCTCACTGCAGTGCTGAATAGCACCAAATGGTCTTCAAGGTACAGAGTGAAGCGAAAGAGATCACAGATAACTGAGAACTGACCATACAGACGAGCCCACTCAAAGCACACTTACGGACATGAAGAACCAAAAACACAAAGAGAGAGTGAAGGATTTCTTTTGGAAGAGCCCCAGCTATCCACTCCGGTCCCCCTGTGGAGAGTACGTCCTGAATTACACTGGAATTGGGAGCACATAAGAATCTACCTATGCACCCTGAAATGATAATAAAACTTGCTGTCCGTATTCTGATTCTTGTGTCCAATGTGGGAATCCAACACACAACCACACACGCATGCAGGCATGCACACGCACACACACACTCCAAAACATTAAGCATGTGTAAAAAAAAAAATTACAAGAAGTCTGGGTGTGTAACCCTGTGGTCACAAGCCCCCCAACTCCTAGTTCCTCAGAGTAATAGAGAAATGTGTTGAACCCTTTCAGATTTGACCTCTCTTCTAAAAGAAAGAACCTACACAGCACACATTTATATAGGTTTACTAAAAAAGGGGGATGGGGTGGGCTTACAGTTAAAAAGAAAAAGGGGGTGGTTTTAGTGTAACAATACTGATTTAAAACTGAAATGGAAGACAGTTTCTCCCTAGAATACCTTAGGGGTTTTCAGAGTCCTTTTCCATAAAAGGAATATACTTGAAACACATCCCAGTTAGGTGAGATGAGATTACTAAAATACATACAGAACTAAAAAAACACATCAAAACAAAACAAAACAACCCAACCAGCCCAAACACAGTCAGTTCCATCTTTCAACTCCTACGATTTTACATCTGTTCGCAGTCCTTCTTGCCTAATGCCTATTGTATGACCGCAAGGAATTTGCTTTCTTCCGCAAGGGAGGTCAGCAAAGAGCTCATGTCCCCAATCGCCATGTTGGTGGTGCTCACTGACAGGGCTGGGAAAGGGATAGAGGCTCGCGGCGTGGTGAGGCGGGAGGAGCTATGAGAAAGGTTCTGAATAATACTGGGGCTCAGGGCCCCTGACATCAGGCTGGCATGGTCCCCATCATCTATGATGGCATCAAAATCAATCTGCACCCCTTCAAGGTCATGGCTGTCGAGGCTGTCGACGGTACTTGTCACCTGGTTAGCACCTGGGGATAGTAACTCAGAGTTTCCAGCGCCGGCCCCCTGTAGTAGGCAGCTGGCACTGGACATGGAGAACGAGCCCATTTTTGTGTCTTGCGGACTGAAGCCCATGGTTTGGTCATAGAACTGACCAGAGTAATTCTGCACATTCGCACAGAGCTGTGCGGGCTGCCCGGGCATCTCTGTCTTGATGCCGTTCACCCTGCAGGTCTGACTCGTATCACTGAGCTGTCCTTGCTGCAGCGTGAGGCTGGCCCTTGGCATAGCCTGGCGCTGCCTGGCCCCATAGCTGGCACAGGGCTGATAGCTCCTGACCCCCGCCAGGCCGGATGGCTGGCAGCCAACACTGTGGGTCCCCGAAAAGCAGTCCTCTGGCCCTTGGTAGGAGCTGATGTGTGAGGTAGCACTGACCTGCCCGAGCACCTGCTGCTGCCCGGCACGGCCTGCCCCCTGGTGCTGCTGCACACTGTCCCCGAGGAGCTGCTGAGGGAGGCAGCTCTGTCCCAGCGGGTCTGGGGTCTGCATGCCATTCACTGTGAGGCCAGTCATGTCACTGGGTGTCACCAGCATGCCAAAATCCAGGGGGACCCCATTGCCTTGCACAGTGGCACTCTTCAGCTTGGACCCTTGAACCCCGGCACCACAGGGACTGTCTAGTGCCCCAGGAGCCACTGGTTGCCTGGCCAGACAGTTCGCATACTGCTGGGCTTTATAGGGGTGTGCGTGGAAGGCGTTTCCACTGGCACTGGCGCTGGTGTCAGCAGGGATGGCCAAGTGCTCTGGGCCACTACTGTAGGCGCTGCCATTTTCCCCAAGGTCCTGATATCCCGTGGCTGGGCCTGGGCCAGCCCTCCATGGGTTCTGCGGGGGAACCACTATGCTGCTGTATAGCCCAAAAGCCCGAGCCTGCTGCGCTGTGGAGCGCTGGCTGCATTTCAGCTTGGAAGAGGGCAGGTCTGCACTTCCCGAGCTCACTTCATTCCACTGAATGGGCAGGTCGCTTTTGCTGCCTTCCGGGCCTGGCTGCTCCAAGGAATGGAACTGTTGGCCAGCGTGGCTGTCTGGCAGCCCAGATGGGTCAAAGTCAGCTGGCCCGTGGGGTCCTTTGCTGTCCTCTGAGAGGGCACTCTGCAAGTGCTGCCCATATCCTGCTTGGTTCTGGGAATTTAAATACTGCACCACGTCATCAGGCAAGAGATCCTCATCATTCAAGTTGGCGTCGGCGTCCATGGTCAGGGACTCCAGGGTGATGTTCTCCGTGATGCTGGGAGGACAGGGGGACACGTGGAAGGGACGAGGCTGGCTGCCCTCGGGTCGAGTATAGTTCTGCAGCACCAGGTTCCGCTTTTCGGTAGATGGGGGACTGAAGCTGTTGAGGCTGCTGAAGCGTGGGACCCTGGGGGGTGGCAGGCTCTCTGAGGCCATTCTCACTGGATCACTGGCCCTCCGCACGCTGTTCCCCAGGGCATCATGTGGGAGAAGGTGGCGCCGGCTATAACCATGGGCTCCTCCATCACTGCATCTCCGAGGAGGGTGCACGGGAGGCAAAGTCACCCCAGACTCCCGGCTGTCTCCCAGCAGGGCCATCCTGGTCTTCAAGCTCAGCCTCTCCATGTGTGGCAGAGGCGTGGGTGGTGGCCCTCCGGTGGCCGCAGCATACTTGGCCTTGAGGCGGTACTGCTGTGCAGGCGTGAGGCTGAGCAGGCTGGGCAGCCCATCGCTCTGGCTGGCCTCACTGGACCTGCGTGAGGCGTCGGTGGAGATGGGGTCATAGGAGTCAGCCACGCTCACGTTCTGGGGCCTGCCCTCCGCCTGTGATGCCTCACTGGACCTACGGCTGGAGAAGCACGGGGAGATGCCCGAGGAGCGGCGGCTACTCAGGTAGGCAGAACTGATGGTGCTGGTGTTACTGTCTCTCCGGGTGAGCGTGTTCAGCATGGTGAGGTCCACCCCAGAGAAGTCACTTCTGTTTGGGAGAAGAGTCACAGGCCCACCCGAACTGCAGTTGTTACTGGACTGGGTGCCTGCAGAGGAAGAGGACAGGGAACAGAACAGAGAGGCTGTGAACAAGGGAGCCACAAACCAGGTTCGAAAGGTCTCTGATGTACCTTATGTCTTCCCCGGGCTCTGATGCCACTCTGCAGCTCTGCAGTTCCCAGCTCCAACAGCCACAGACAACAGCAAATGAATGAACGGGTGCAGTGGGTAGCAATAATATTTCATTTACAAAACAAGCAGCATTCTGTATACAGACCCTGGGCTGCAGTGTGCTGATCCCTGGCTTAAGCAAAACAATGCCAACTGCTCCCTCAATTGAGTTAAGTTCCTCCATAGGCTCAGAGAAAGGACAAAAAAAAAAAAAAAAAAAAGACTCTTGGGAAATACACACAGTGCCTGAGTTCTAAGCGAGATTGTTTTACATGCACAGTCAGGACTTCCTGTTTATCTCGCAGCCTACAAACAGAAGGCAGAGAGGCAAAAACTCATCTCTGGGGGCTGCTCATGGGAAAGGAGGCTTGCCTCTCCTTGAACTCAACAAACTAAAAGCGGTTGCTAATCTCTGAGTCTTAGATTTTGGAAATCAGAGACAAGGTGCTAACCACAATATATCTACTTTGGAGATAACCACACTATCAGTGCATGTATCACTCCCTGTCTTCTTTTCTGTTGTAGTATCATTCTGTTACAGTCTACATGAACCCTCCAGAAGGGCAACTCGAATGGGGCCAATTTTAGGATGGGTGGGTTTGTGGCATACCCTTAGGAGTGGTGGGAAAGCTAAGAAGCATTCGGAGAGGTTCTGGTCCCGTGTGAGAGAATGTGATCTGAAGCAGACTCACCATTTCCTATGAGAGGAGAGACCGCAGGGGCTTTGGGGGGTAGAATGGGGTTCAGTCGTGGAAGCATTCCATTCACTTGTTTCAGCCTTTCTAGTTTGACGTGCTCCATCCATTTGGTCCCTGCTGGATTCCTCCTGGCTTGCAAAGCAAGGGCTGTGGTGGCGGTGGAAATGGTCGAGTCCATGATCGGGGTTTCGTCAATGGCACTGAGGTCCGCAACACTACCTCTGTCGGTCAGAGGAAGCTCGAGCCCACTGTTGGAATAGCTGCTGATGGGGGACTGTTGGCTGCTGCATGAAGACTGACCACCAGGGCTTGGCTGAGATGTCTGAAGGCATCAAGGGAAAAGAAAGAAACATCACCGGGAAGGGCACACCAGGGAGCCCACAGTGACAGCTCATGCATACCGAGACCTTTACACGAGCAACTGGTTGAATGAGAAGAAAAACTAGGCTCTGGTGGACACAGGTGGCCTCTGGGACCAGAATGACTAATGGGGCCACCAGGCCAATGTGTAGCGGGAGGCAATGGACAGCAGAAGATGTGGGATGACCAGAATGAAAGCAGCCATGGAATCCTGTCCCAAACATGAACTCTGCAAATACACTTGCTCTCTTTCAATCCCACCTCTAGGGTTTTCACCTTTGAGCAAATCACTCAGCCACTCACAATCTCTGTGTCCTTATCTGTAAAATGGGCATCTTTTATTTTAAGGACAATCTGAAGTCCAGAGAGCGTGCAGATATAAAAAGATAAAAAGACTGGAATACTAATACTAATACTAATGCTAATACTAATACTAGCACTAATACTAATTAGCTCACAGGCATTAACAAGGTGGCTTAATATTAATGGAGTTTAATATGACTATTCAGTGCAGCTAATACATAAATGTAAGTAAGATATGCCCATAGGACACATCATCTTCTCTCCAACAGGTGGCCCCTTAGCCTCTCCAACACTGGTACCCGAGCTCTCTGCAACCTTTTCTCCCTCCTAGATTTTCCTGTTGTTGTTCAGCCTCAACTAGGTTGAAGAACAAGGCAGGGGTAAGAGCTAAAAGATCTCTTTGCTTCTGCCATTTCGGGGGGGGGGGGCAAACAAAGGCCGCAACATTCTGTTTACCCTTCTCCCTTAGTGTGCCCTAGTGTTTCACCAGGAGAACCAAGATGTGTTCCATAACCCAGCAGAATGGATTCTGTGAGAAAATTCTGCCATTAATGGAAACTTAATCCAATCACCAGTTCTCGATCAGGGACCCCATCCCAGGACTCTTGGAAATAAGAGATGGAAGGAAGCCTGGGATGCACGCTACAGAGCCTGCAATTTCCAGGACAGCTGGCACAACATATAACTAACAGTTCTGCCTTGAAGTCTAGAGGTGTCTTGGTTGATAAGCAAATGCTTTTGCAAGGATAAGAAAATGATGTCCAGAGAAGTTCATGACTGCCCAGAGTCATACAGTTTAGGATGCAACCAGCTGGGACCTCCTCCACTGTTACTACAAAAGCTGAAGTCAAGGACAGTGGCAGAAACAAACATCTCCAGGAAGTTGATTAACTCAGGGTGATTGCAGGGTGAATCTCAGGTGGGACACATGAGGCTCTCTGCAAGCGATCTGTGAGCTAAGGCTTCTCCATGGAATCCTTGATAGCTTTGCAGCTGTCACTGGGCACATATTCAAGCAAATGGACACTTTCTAAGCGAGAGCCTGGTGGGATACTAACCTCATCCTGGGCAACCAAGCAGAGCAAAGGAAGACACATAATTCAAGTTTGTGAAGCTGGATTTGTTTTGTTTTGGTTTTGCCTCATCAGAGTCCTGGATTGCAGGCTACTTTCCCTTTCCTGAGGCACTTAGAGTTTACTGAGTTTGGGATGTCTTACATTCCTGGGAAGTCAATTCAGGATGTGTGTATGAATTCTGATATATGAATATACACACACGTGCAGACACACACTTCCTAGGGAGTGTAAGAAGGTGTTCAAGTACCTACAGTTAGCAAACTGCTTCAGTGAGCTTACATCTTTAAAGATTAAACTGCTAACAACAAATATATTTAGATTTCCCACAAAGAAGGTGGATGACATCAAGGCTAAGAATGAATTCATACTAGTAATTTAACGGAATTTGGGGATGTCTGCTTGGTGGGCCCCAGTGTGAGCTATTATGAAAACCTACACACACACAACAATGAATTTCATCATCTAACTCCACATTTTCCACATGCTAAATGTCCAAGACATTTGTATGGCTGAGTAATGTTCACTACCAAAGATGTCACAAGGCGACAAAAACTAAAGGAAATGAAATGAAAAAGATGCTGAATGCTAAACTGCAAACAAAATAAAATAAAAAGGAGAGAAGACAAAATTCCCTCACCTTATTACCCACTGTCCTTAGGAAGTGAGAACAAGACATTTAGGAGCATTAGACAGAAGAGATGTTGCAATAAGAAAAAAGAAGAAAGAATTTAATTCATAGCATGATGATCAAATAAAGACACATCTTTTAAAGAAAGAATATTAGAAATGTAAATTTCATGAGCATTAGTAAAGTCTATGAAGACACCTACTTATATTTAACTATGTGAGTACATACATGCACATCATAGTATAAGCTCGGGGAGCTTCAATTTCAGCAAAACACAGAACTGGGTCTTAGCTCTGTGAGCTCCTTTAGTTCTTTATTTCTCTGATTTGATTAGCTTAGAAAATATTTCAGACATCTTAACTGGGGTGCCTCAATGGTCACAGAGTCAAATCACAATCAATTTTTATTTTTATCAGTTTTTTTTCTTAGAGAATGAGTATCTGGCAAGAAGAGAGGTCATTTTCTTGAGCTAGGGCTACACACAATAGGTACAAGAGCCTATGGGTTCTAAGACCATAAGCCATAGTTTTTCCACGACCTAATCTAGGAGACCACAAATTCATTTTCCCTTTTTTCATTCAATGTTTGAGAATAAACTGTTGAATGTTCTGTACAACTATTATCCAGGAGGACTTTATTTTAGGAAATAGATACATGGCTACCTCCAAACATAGATAAAACAGTTTATGAACTGCATAATTTAAAAATACAGCAATCAATCAAAATATATAAACCTTTGATTAAGATGCTTTATAAAAGCAAAGTACAGCTACGGAGTGAGAATTAATGATAACACTGGACAACTTACTAGCATTATATTTGGCTAGAATTTATGTCACTTTGTAAGACTCTAGGCATTCAAAGACAAAAACAGTAGACTGTTAAAATGCAGCTTCCCATCACGCCAGTGCAGAGGGGCATGTGCAGGATTTCCGGCTCACATATGCCTCTCAGCATTGATGTCATCACTCAGGAATTCGAAGAATGCCAGTCCCAGGGCTAGACTGCTCTGATTTCAAGAACTTCCTTCCTTCCCTGAGTAAAACTCTGCAGCTCCAAGCTTTCTGTGTGTCCAGAAATCTGGTCGTGCAACTGCTGTCTGGTACCTTCCCTCAACAGGTGAGAGTGGCAGACTGGGTTTAAATAAGCTCACTTAGATAAATCCCTAGCACACGTGACCAAATAGAAACACTGTGAATCTCCTCTAAGATCAATTCCTTTACTTTTTCTTGCTGCCCTCTGAACTCATTAGGGGTTTGATCGGAGCGCATACAGGAAGCAAGATCATCACGTGCAGTTTGCAAGCAGCTGGAAGAGCAGCATCAGCAAACCAAATCAGTGTTAGCCTATAAGAAATTTTAAAAATCCTTCTTTGCTCTCCACCTCATGGGCTCAAGCACAAATGCAGAAATGAGCTCGCTTTATAATCTCAAATCTGATACTGGAGCTGTGTCTAGAAATCCTGCTCTGCTGGGCCCTTCCCTGTTCCCTAAAAACGTCCTTCTATCTTCAGCCCTGCTGCTCCTGTGCACATCACAGGTCAGGCCCTGAGGCTGGACCTCTCTGCCTCCTCCTTTGTCTGCTGGACTCCTATCCCTGTCACCTCTGCCCTGGAGAGCACAGTCAGTTCTCTTGCATGTGCCTTGCACAGGCGTGTTTTTGTGCTCCTACCATCCTGCATGGTGGGTGTTAGCTTTCCATCTATCCCACCGGACAGTAAATCCCTACAGAATAAGGATTGTAGTTTATTTATTTTGGGGTCACCAGGCAAAGGAGCCAGAAATGATTTTTATGGAAAGACTCACTGAATGATTGTCTAAACATTATGAGTGCATTGATCAACTAGGAATCCTACCAATTTCTTTCTTTTTTTTAGGTATTATCCTAAACCCATCAACTTGGAGGACACAATCCAGCTCAGAACCTCCTTGAATAAGAATGGCCTGATGCAGGACCGGAGGGGAAGCTTGTCCCTCTCAATACCCTTCTGGGCTCTTCTAAATGACTCAGGGCTGGTGGTGGAAAGTCGGAAGAGCGAATGACATACCATGGGCTTCTCCGCTTTGACGGTCTTCACCTGGAGGCATTCTTCCCGCTTTGAGGTAGTGGTGCTGAGGTCTTTCTGCTCCCCGAGGGCTCCCTGAGTCGGCCGGCCTGGGGACCTGGACTGGGAATGGCTGCTAGAATCTCTGGGGGGTGGGGGCCGCGGGTGCATGTCCCCTCGCTGTTTCTTGGTGACATGCGCCTCAGGGCCATGCACAGTCTTCACATGCTTCCGGAGGGAGCTGGGGTCTGTGTAGCGCTTTGTGCAGCCTGGGATTTTGCACACATACGGTTTCTGCCAAATGCCACAAGAGTGAGGTGACAGATTGTTAGAAAGTGATTACGCCTCAGCGCCATGCTCATTACATTTTTAATTCTTTCAAAAACACTTTTACAAAGCTTGGAAGTATTCAAATGCCTCTAGGAACTAACAGCTTAATAAGTTCCATTTAGATGTTGTTCAGGGTCCACAGAATCTAGTTTAATAGATGATTATTTTAGAGAGTGCTCCGGGGAGCTAAGAAGGTGTAAATTGCCTCAATGTTCTTGGGAGCATTTGTGCTCTGAGTGGAAAGAAGCACCACAGTGTGATGCATGTTAGGTGTTCCACAGACATGTGAGGTATCAGGAGGATGATGATGATGGACAAAGACTTAAGAGACTCTCATTATCCAAATAGAATGCTGTACACCTTCCTTTAAGGAGAGGATGTGCAAAGACATTTCATAGGGATATCTTGGTTCTGGGATCTAATGTCACTCTGCACTCTGCAAATGTGCTATTTGCACATAGACATAATAGAAAAATTGCTTATGCCTCTGCCATGTGAGAGAGATGTCACTAAAATATGTTCTTCCAGGTAGCATTACATGTGTGGGGGTGTTCAGGGCTCAAAATAACCCACAGTATCTATGAGTGCACAGTGTACACTGCTCAGGGATGCAGGGGGTATACTGGGAACCAGGGTTTTTGATCTGTGCTCTCTGAGTTCCTAGATCTATAAATTATTTCAGGCTGATTTTATTTTCTATAAGCATCAGTGAAGAGCGAAGTGTTTACTCAAATCACAGAACTATTGGCTTCTGTTCATACCAACATTGAAACTGTGGTCTTGTTCACTTGTCTTCCAAAATAATATACTCATGAGTGCTCTGTCTCAGCCAGGATCACAGATAGCTGGCCCTCTTTTTCCAATAGTTATTATACCAACTGCACAACTGTACTGAGTTCTGTAGGTAGACTGTCCTGTCATTAGTCCCTAAACAATCAGTAGGGCAACAATGTCATAGCATTGGTATGGCACTAGATATTATAAGTAATTACAGATGACCTAAAATTTACAGAAGGGTGTGTGTAGACTATGTATAAATAAATACTAAAGGACTGGTGTATTCTTAGAGTTTGGTTCTGCAAGGATCTTGAAAATATTTCTTACAGAAATAAGAGATCTATGCATTTGTATCTATGTATATCAGAAGATGAGCTCTTTGGTAAGCAATAAAGTAAGACTTGTATAATGTCTCTAGCATATTTTAAAACACATCCTGCCTTATGGAATGCATGTCTAAAAGATGCTTTTCAGTAAAAGCCCCAGAACAGACTGAGTGGAACCTAAAATGTTGAAATGTCCTAATGCAGGGAAGCAAAGATTCTGAAAATTATCCTGACAGACTTCACCTCCAAATATGACGTTCCTTTGGGCAGAACTGACTCCATTAAATTGAATTAGGTCTACTCAGAAGCTTGTGTGATTTGTGACGGTGTGTGTGTAATGAAATGAGCACGTCAAATTCTACACATTACAGACAAAGAATGGCACTGGATATTTAGTGTCATTCCTTTATGAAGTTCTGACGCTGACCTATGTGTGCTCGGGGCATTGCTGTGAGAGTCCTTCCATCAAGAAGCAGAATGGGGCAGTTGGTCAGGACAGGGAGGGCAAAAAGAGCTTGAGGTAGACCTGCAGGGTGTTCTGAAGGGCTCTTCTTATAAATATATGTGTGTGAACAGCATAGATGAGCCTAGGGTGGAGGACACAGTTGGTGTGTATTAGGTACACAATTGGCTAGCACCATTACGTTCAAGTCCAGTAGCACACTCAGACAGGTACACCCGTACCCCTGTGCCTTTGCATGTGAACATACACATTACACTCCTACACAAATCTGCAGGAATACAGGTATATTTGGGAACTCTTTACTTCACAGCAAAACACATTATTTTTGCTACATACCTTAGCTTTCAAATTCTGTTGGACCTGTGATTACAGCTAAATGTAATTATAGGCCAGGATAAATGTCAGATTTTCTGAGTGCCCTGGGTACTCAACTTTTTGACATGATAGTTACCTTTCTGACTCACTGCAATTATAAGTCCTGTGTAAAAGCAGTTGTTAAGTCTTTTGACTCTGTAGAATTTTTCCAAATAAATTTTTTTTCAGTAAACATTTAGTGATTCCCGATCCATACAAGAGCTTGTGAGCACCAAGTGGTATATGGCAGGATTTAATCTGAAGGTGTATAAAATCTTTAAAGTAATCCTTATATTTTATACATAAAATCTTACTTCTGAGAGGAAAAATACAATACCATGTAATCATCTGCAATACAAAGTGTGACTTTTGAGCATGGGGGCAGAGAAGAAATCAGCTTTCGCTTGGGATGGTCCTGGGAGGGGTCAGTTATTTTATTTTGGTGTCTGGGATACTCAGATACCAAATGCTCAGCATCTGGGGTTATGCTGAGTGTCAAGTAAGGTCACATCCAGAAAGGATGTGTGACACATCAGAAGTGCTCCAAAAAAATAAGCTTTAATTAGGAGGAGGAATTTTAGTTGGGCATTGAGAGGAGAATAAGATTCTGAGGGATAAAAACAAGTGTAAATGATGCTAATAAGAACTGTCCCAAGCAAAGGACCAGCAGAGCACCATGTCACACATGCCAGCATAGCAGTCCACAGCACTGGCTTCTGACGTGGGGAGTCTTGTCACTGGCTACTGCTATCCAGTGGGCCTAGAGGGACAAGACAGGCTAGGGGACAGAGAAGTGACAGAAGGACTTCCTCCAAGGGAATGATTCCCTTTCTGGTTTATGCCATTATGTACTTGGCTACAGCCAGGATCACAAAGAGCTGGCACATAGCTAGCTGTCAACAGTTGTCTAAAGAATAAATAACGACCCAAATGAAATAGCAGGTATGTCAAAGCCAGTCTCTTGTTTTCTCTAGGATGCTGTGGGACATGACTCTGGAACTGCTGGACAAACTTAACTTTTGTACATCTGAAACTGTCCATCATTTCATATGCAAAGCCAAAACCTTGTGTGTACATCAGAGAAAAATGATTTATATACTTGTGAGTAAAATTTTGATGATGTGTTTATGATCAAGGTTTAAAATTTAAGTAAATTCCTCAATCTTGGTGAAAAATGGTATTGATCAAGGTGTCTTTTGAACTCATAAAACATCCAGTCTTCATGTAACAGTGATTTTTTACCTCACAGGAGATCACAAGCTCAACTGTCATATACTTAATTCAAGCAAACAGACACGTGTGTATTTTAAATCCACAAAAAGATACAAAGCTCAGTATCCTTATGTGTGAGCACTGCCAATCCCAACTTATCCATTATTTGAACTTCTCCACAACAAGAGAGAAGGCTGGCTTCTAGTCTGGAAGAATAAATATTCCCTTTTAGTTACTTAAATATATAAAATAGAGTTAAGGATAGTAATTATTTTGTGAGTAAAGCTAATTGAGTCTCTTAAAAATCTGAAATTGAGTTGCAATTCACAAAGCAAAATAAGTCTACTGAATTGCACAATTCAGCAGCTCTTGGTGCAGTCTTAATGTTATGCAATCATCACCACTATCCAAGTCCAGAACAGTTTTATCACCCCCGAATGAAACCTTGTATCCATTAACAGTTACACCTATTTTTTCTCACCCCAACTGCTGGCAAAAACTTGTCTACCTTTTGTCTCTACGGAATCCCCTATTCTAGATTCCCTAAAACTTGTACAAAACCAGTGCAGAGGATGATTTACTGCTATTGCACACAGGATAAGCTCTTTTTCTGCAAAAAAGTAGAATGTGTCATCTTCTCTTGAAATGCCTTCAAACAGCTGGTCAATACGATACATTTCAAATGACTTTTTCCTCCTAGCCAGGAGCTGTTCAAAAAGAGCTGGTATACCTAGACTTGCTTGTTTGAGTTTGCTGTGGACGTGCTTTGTGGTGAGTGTGGTGTATCCTGGAAGAGATAGCTTTGCTTTATCTGAGTGAAGATCAAATTTCCTATCTTACAGCCAAAGGGCCCTGAGTGCTATGGTTTGCTTTGTTTTCACTAGATTCCCTTTCCCCCAGCTCTATCTCTAGCTCCATGGGTTTGGCTGGCATCTGGTGAGATCATGAGGGCCTCTCAAAGTTTTATGTGTGCAAATTGTTCCTCCTCCTGCACATTTCAAGCAGAGGACCAAATTTGCAGAGCTGAACTACACGTGGCATTAACAAACTCTCTTCAGCCACCCAATTCCTAGCCCAAACATAAGAATCGTTAGTGTTACTTTCTTGATTCCTCAAGGGAAAGCTTTCCTGACAAGCCAGCTCTGGAGCCAGATATGCAAGAAGCTGGGGATCTGGAAGCAAAATAAATGTAGGAAAAATGAACTACGAATTCTTTTCTTTTCTTTTCTTTTTTTCTTTTTTTTTTTTTTTTTTTTGTCTTTTTCGTTTTTTATCGGTACCAGGGATCGAACTCACGACTGCCTGCTTGCAAGGCAGGTGCTTATGCCGCTGAGCTAAATCCCCAGCCCCGAACTAGGAATTATTTTCATTCTTACACATCGTGCAACTTGCGAAGGGTAACTACTTCAACATCAAAGCAACACTACAGCAAACACTCACTACCATGCAGCTTTCCTCCACAGATCGCCTCCAGTAATAAAGTTGGTTTCTGAATATCAAGATTCTCTGAGATTTAGAGTGAATGGAAAGTGGTTTTTAACCCACAGTTGATTGCTCTGAAAAAATTTCCTTGGTATAATACATTTGAAGATGCAACCTGACACAAGACAAATACAAGAGGCTGTTTTTGCAGTGAGCTGCCTGCCATCTGCCAATGTGCTGTGGCCCTCCACTCCTTGTGAGTTTGGATTTATCCTATTCTGGGCAGTGCAAGGGGATGGGATTCCAAATCAGCACTCTTCTCTTCTGACCGGTAGGTGGCGCTTCCCAATAACATCAAACCAAATTCACAGGGAGTTTTGGGAAATTCCCTTCTCATCTGAATTACTCTTCAAAAGATACCTAATTCTCAGCCCGTCTTCTGAGACTCAAGCGTTTTGCCTGCAGGGTCAAAGCCTACTCGTTCTGGGAAGGGGCCCAAGAGAATAATAAAGTAGAACATGCCTGCCTGTCCAGGAACATTGGCCGGGAGGGTCTCTGGGCCCGGAGAGAATGCTTACCTCGTTGGAATGTGTTCTGTTTTGGTGCTTGGCGCGATCAGAGGCGTTGGAGAAGGCCTTGTTGCAACCTTCATGCTCACAGACATATGGTTTCTCTCCAGTGTGAGATCTCAAGTGTGTTTTCAAGTTTTCTAGTCTCGAGTAGGCTTTTGTGCAACCTTCAAACTGCGGACAACAGGTAAATCTGGATTACTCCACACAATAGCCCCTGCCGCCACTTACGCCTAACCCGCTGTCCAAGGGGATAAAACCCTCACGTCGAAAGGGTCAGCAAGCTTTTGAAAACCACTGAACAAAAACTCCGCTAAACTCTGCATTTATTGGGATTCAGACGTAGCTCGAGGCCGTTCAAGATAAAGCATTTTTCAGTGCCAGTAAGTCCTGAAGTTTTTTTTTTTTTTTTTTTTTTTTTTTTTAAATAGGTCGCTCAATGTGGACAATGGGTTTCATTATCCACTCAGTGATCGCCTCAAATTCCCACTGATTTCAGATTCAGCACAAAGTTCATTAATATGGCTTTGTGTCCATACAAAGACAGGGGATTTGATCACGTTTGTGAAGGGCCTTTAAGATGTAAAGTACCAGGGCAAGCAGTGCCCAGTGTGCCTTGCAGACACCTGGGTGGGAGGAGGCTCGGCCTCTGGCAGCCCTGGCCTCCTTGGCAGGCCAGCCAGAAAGCGTCCTGAGTAGATGCAGGTTGCGTTTCTTCGATTAAGACGTGGGATCAGAAGCATCTTGATTTTTTTTTCAAATTCTGGAATATTTTGCACACACATAATGAGATATTCCAGGGGCCGAACCCAAATCTAATCATGAAATGCCTTTATGTCTCCTAAATACCTTATATAAACATAGCTTGTGGGTAATTTCATATAATATTTTTACAGTGCCTGCATTTTGACTATAACCTGTCACATGGTACCCATGGTGTGGGATTTTCCATTTGTAGAATCAAGTCAGCAAAAATCTCAACTTTTGTAGCTTCCTTTTTTTAAGTATTAGGAATTGAACTCAGAAGCAAGAGGTTGGAACAGATCTTTGGACTGATCTGTATCCCCACTTCCCCAGTCTATATAATCTTTTTTTTTTTTTCTTGATTCATTAAGTTGTTTAGATTAAGCTCAAACTTTTGATCTTCTTTCTTCATTTTTCCAGAGTGCCAGGATCTATAAGCCTTTACCGTCATGCTTGGCTAGATTTTTTTTTTTTTTAAAATTTGGGGTACTCAACCAGTGCAAAGCTAGGTTTCTAAAAAGTCAACTTAAACAGAAGCAGGAGGCTGGAACATTCCCTTGTCTTCTGGATCCTCTTCTACAACAAGCTGCTGGGCTGGGGCAAGGCTGATGGGCCTTGAGCAGTCCCCCGGTGCCAGTCACCTGTCGCCCACTCACCACTGCAGAGTTTTCCTGTGTAACTAGTTAAACTCAAAAACATGTGCATCTACCACTAGACAGCGCTTCATCTTTCTGGCACCACCATCCAGCCACATTTCCCCTTAAACTGGAGTCCTCAGCACTCATCTCCCTGAAGTGTACAAGGAAAGACCCTCAGGTAAAGTCTGACACCTATGGGTGCCTGGGGACCCCGGGGCCAGCAAGCACATGGGTACTCACAGTGCATTTGTGAGGCTTCTCACCAGTATGTCTCCTCATATGCACCACCAACATGTACTGAGCTTTGAAGGGTTTCTGCTCCCTGGAGCAATCGAGCCATCGGCACACAAACTCCTTCTTCTCACCGTGGATATGGTCGTTATTGATATGCTGGAGTGGGAAAAAGAAAGAGAAAGATGGAAATGTGTTATTCATTTCATAGGCAATGAAAGGAACTAAACTACATGGCCTAATTTTAAATCCTAACGAGTACATAAATAACTGGACCAAAGTACCAATTTCCAAAAATTTGTTCTTGCTGAGTTTGCATGCTTCCCAGGCTGAGGAACGACACTATGGAGAGGAAGCCTGATGTATCAAAAAAAGTACTAGCATGGGCACCTGAAGAGCTGAGTGCATTTCTGAATTAGGCAACCAGAAAAGTGTGAAACAGGGCAGGGTGAACCATTTTTGACTTCCCTGGGCCCCTAATAATTTTCATCTATCAAGGGGGTTTGGGGAAGTTCAAAGCTGAAAGATGGTAAAAGTGTTCCGTAGCTCTAACACCCATGGTGCACATGTATGCACACACAAATCTGTAACAAGTAATAAGGTACCTGAAACCACTTTTCAAATGAATCTGTAGTTCAGGCTTGGTGTGATTTTCTCTTGTTAAGAATCTCAGACAGAAGACCTAGCTACTAAGGAAGGAGAAGTATGCTGGAGTCAGCAAGTGATCCACTCAACAAGTGATCTAAACTCTCAGGGATTTTGCTCTTTTCATGCACAGAATAAAAGAATGAAGCTAGGCTTGTAAATGCATCTCTGCAACCCCAGGACTCTGGGAGGCTGAAGTTCGACCCCAGCCTGGACAACTTAGAGACCTGAAGAGACCTTGTCTCAAAATTAAAAAATAAAATTTAAAAAACAGGCTATAGCATAATGGGAAAGCCCTAGATTCAATCCCCAGTTCTAACAAACGAAAACAACAAACCAACAAAAACAAAAGAAAAACAAGGAATGGGCTCCCTAGTTTCTAAAGTCATTCCCAGGTTTAACATCCTGGGTTTTAACATCAGGTTTTAGAATGCAGGGGAGCATTCTCAAATTCTTCATCCATTCAAGGCTTCAGAACCACACTGTGCCCTGGCTGAACAGGGTGAGTGTCTTCCTAATGGGAGACAGGAGACTTGCACATAATGTGGAGGAAGAGGGCGGTGTTCCTCCGGATCATAGGTAGGTCAGTCTGGGCAAGCCGAGCACACTATTTAAATAAATGTCCAGTTCTTGACTACCAGGGGAGATTTGCATACTCTTGCGATTCTCTGGTAATCTTGCATTACATTCACCTTAATTTAAAGCAGTTGGGACAACTTTCTCAAACACACAGAGAAACACATCAGCTGAAAAACCTGTGCAGCCACTGAACGCTGCCTTTCATCCTCTGCATTCTGTGGCAGTGATATAATATCAAATTGCCTGCCAGCTAAGACTCTGGTTCCTGAGGGAAGAGGTCTCTGGGACGTGAGGGTAAAATGCTACCAGCAGAGCAGACCTTTCCCACTTTCTCCACTAGGTGGCCGACAGCTTCAGGAAAAGAAGTTTTACACAGTAATAAGTTTTCCGTGCTTAAAACTGGATGGGAGCAGAGAAAACAAATGATAATCTCTTTCCTGTCCTTGAATGGTTCTCAGAAGGCTGGGTGAACAGAAGACAGTGGTTGGCAACTCACAGCACACAGAGAGACCACTGTCATCCTGCCGGAAGCTGTACATCACAGGACCACCAACAGAAGCACTCAGGTCCACAACTGTACCAAAACCCTGAAGCCAGGAGAGGTGGGTTCTTATCAAATTCAACACACTCCATGAATCAGTGCTTCTTAAAAGCCATGGTGGTACACACGCATATGCAAAGAAACAGCATGTGATCTCTGATTTTGTGCTCCTAGCCCAGCTTTGTAGCTAGCTGGTGCACAGAGGGGTCTCAGATGCCCCCCATAGCCCTAAGTGTGTACTGTACACAGTGGGAGGGTTTCTATGAATTCTCTTCTGCAGGGAGAAAAGCGAATCATGGCACAGAACCACTCCCTAAAAATTGTCCTTGAGTTGGTTTTACTGGAAGTAAATAAATTGGGTCTCTGAATTATTACAGAATAAAGAGAAGAAAGGCAAGTGGGCAGGCAGCAATGCAGGCACACAGGAAGGAGGTGGATAAGAGGTGAGAACGAAGGAGAAGGGAATATTTTAAAAACTCAAGACTGGGAAACAGATCCACAATCTGACCTGGGCCAGTTTCTAGAAGCCTTTTGTCCTAGATGTCTTTCTTTTCCTACTCTTAGCAACAGTGTTCTGCTTCTTTGCAGATACTCATTAAAGTAAATATTTATTGAACTGATTTGACCCACGCAGCAAACTAAATTTTTACTGGGCAATAGAAACTACACTGGACACTTCTGTCCTCTTGCAACTTCATTTCATCTGGTATTTAAACAATAAGAATCTAACACATGGCATTTCATTACTTTGAAAAAATAAACACTCAAGAATTGCAAAAATATTCTAAAGATGCTCAAATGGGAACCTGGTCTTGCTAGACAGGACGAAAATGCACTTAATTACAACATTTTTCTCCAATGCATTTCTGAGCATGTGCTGAGCTGTACTCTCACCAGGACGTTGCTGAGGAGGAAGGCGGACATAATTCTTGCCCTGAGGAAATTACAGTCCACTGGGGGAGAATAGGTAATGACTTAAATTTCTGCAAAATTACAGTTGTGATGATCATCGGGGAAAGGAAATAATGGGTTGTGCAAAGAAGCCCTGGCCAGGGCTCCTAAGTCAGGGCAGAGCCTCCGGACTCAGGGTGGCTTCTTAGATGAACTTGCTCTAGGATCCCACCAGGAAGCTGACTGAAGACCCAGTAGGTGTCAGGCGAGGTGGGTGTGGAGACAAAGGGACACATTTGCAGATGGACGGTGGGTATGCTGAGGACGAGTGTGAGTTCCATACATGGCAGGAGTGAACTGGCCAAAGACGGTCTCAGGCTCTGCCACTGCTTGGCACATGGTGAGAAGACACCCCCTTCCCAGGAGTCAAGTGGACACTGCTGCTGGGGTGGCCAAGTTTGGGCCAGCTTGCCAGGGCTTACCTCAAGTGCAGTGTGCAGGGTGATTCTGCTATGCAGAATCACAGATGCCATCAGAATACATGGTGACTATTTATATAAATACTTAGTACAGTAAGAGACAAACTGTTATGAATTTCACTCAATAACTTCTGTCACTTTGAACACAGTGATCCCATCTTTTTTGGCCCTTTCTGAAGCAGTTCTGAAAGTCACTTTCCTGAGTGTCTTTACAAGGATCCAAAGTGCAGTGACTGGCCTGCCCAGAGCCACTCAAGGCAAGGCAGGTTTGTAGAAACACAAAGCTGTGTTCTAAGCAACCTCATTCACTGGATCTTCTGGTTCCTCATGTGGTGAAAGGGTAACGTTTTGAATCTTATTCAGGACATCAAAGCAGCCACAACAGCACAACTGAAAATACACATGAAAGAGGATTCCCAAAGCTGCTTCAGAAAACAGGAAGATCCACAGGATATTTTTTAAAGCCTGGGGAGTGCTGAGAGGGGAGCTTCGTGGCAATGTGTCTTTTGCAGTAATACATATTTTAAAAAATTTAAACACTCACTATGTTTTTTGATCACACTGTCTACATCTCTTGAGAAAGCTCACCCTGGAATGCCTGTTCCCAAGCAAGAGGACATCAAGGTACTTCTTAGAGGAAGTGGATGAGCAGCGGATGTGGAAGTGTCAGCAGTGGCCAGCGAGGTAAATGACCCTGGCCTTGCCTTCCTGTGAGGGCCAGCCCAGTGGGGGAGCTGGCCTCTAGGGCAAGGAGGGGTGTCCAGGTCCAACTGGGACCCTGCCTCCAGCAGGGCAGTGTCAGAGAAAAGGCGTTAGGGAGGGGCAGGCTATGGGCTACACAGGACATCAGAGGCCTAAACTGAACTTTCGTTGGCAGGAGGTCTGGAATCTGGCAGCAGTGGTGTGTGTGTGTGTGTGTGTGTGTGTGTGTGTATGTGTGTGTCAGAAAGGGAAAGCAGGCAGCTGCTCCTGAAGACAGCTGGGCAGAGATCCAAAACACTTCCCATTTATACCTCACTGAGCTTTGTCTACCACGTGTGGGAATCTGATGGAGGGGAATCCTCTCCATGCGGGGAGGGCCCCGGATGGTCACAGCAACTTGCAAGGCCACCATCTTGGGAATTTTCCTTTTTGTCCTGTTAGGGTAGACCTGAGTCTGATCCAATATGCTTTTACCATCTGCTAAAACTTCTCTTGAATTCAAACTTGCACTGAGATCAGCAGTTACCCTTTGGTAAGGGAAACTATGATCATGGAGGGGTGAGACAAGGACCATTTTGCTTTTTCTTGCCCCAGCTTTCTGACTATTTCGGTGGTTCAAAAGTGTTTTACACTTGTGTTTCCAAGAGCTACATTTTAGGTGAAAATGAAGATCCTGAAAAATTGGATATGTCACATATCTACATGTTCTAATTTCCTTTTAAAAAACTGCACTGCTTCTGGATGAGACCTTGAGAGGGCTCTGTAGGGCTAACATTTTTTGTATGAGACCATACAGTAAATATTTAGATTCTGTGGTCCAAAGCTCTCTGTACACAGCTGCAGTATGTAAATCAACAAGGATAGCTGTTCATTTAGGGATGTGGAAAACTTTCATGTCATGAAATATTCCTTAAAAGTTTTTAAAAAACAGCTTAAAAGCATGAAAACTACTCTCAGCTCGTGGCTAAATAAGCTCATAGGCTCTACACAAACAAGCAGAGGGCTAGATGTAGCTCATCTCTAGACGAACTGATTTTAGAGTTTTCTTCTTGCTCTAATATTTGTCAGGTTAGCCCCCAAACCTGAGAAACTGAAATTAGAAAGAGAAATATCACTAGAGAAAACAATATAGCATTAGAAAGGAATAAATATCAGGAACCTGAGTTAAAGGAGGAGGGGCGAGGTCAAGACACCCCACCATCTGCATGGTTTTCAGGATTGGGTGGAAAACATATACACAGTCACACTTTTCTCACCTAAATCCAAGGTGGCTGATCAAAACAATACACTGTGAATTCTTTAGATCCAGCAGACAGATTGAT